CTGTCTGAGACCCTCCGCAGTCGCACGAGGGGGAAAAAAGGTTTCCCCACTTGTTCAGAAAGTATGAGCGTTTACTTTGTTGGGCCCTATTGCGCTTCAATGTGCACCAGGTTTCACCGGGTAGATCAAATCTAGGGGCTCTTTCTGTTATGCAGGACAAGCTGTAGTTCAGCTGAGCTCTCGACCATTCGTGAATCCACTTGTCTGTGATATCAAACTCAGTATCTATAGCAATTTTTGCAGTATTTGTTGGTGGTCTTCTAGACTGTAGTCGGTTTTTGTTGGCTTCTTCAATATGGTATGTCGCTCAATACTGGTAGTTGAGTTGGGGTGGCGGCTGAGAGCTTCTATTATTATATATATTATATATTATTATATTATTTTTGGTTTTTAGTTTTACCGCATTGTTAGTCAGATGTGCATTAAAGCTTAATGTCCTGTCAAGGGTGGTTTTTTGTTGTGATTAAGTAAAGTGCTATCAAAGTGGATATTTAGTTTTCTGTCGGCCATTTTATTGTTTAAATGGAAGTAGGTTACTTCTGTTTTTGAAGCATTAGATTGGAATCTCACTAAGAACTATATATAATATATCGATCAAATAATGATCATTAAATTAAATGAAGAATGAAATTGTTTTCTTTGAATTCGTTATTAATAAATGCTTTGAATTTGGTTGTTTTGAGGATTGTCTCATGGTGGGAATAATGAAACGTCTGTATACGTAAACATGGAGTGAAAAATAAAATTGAAGTTATAGGTCGATATTTGCACTAAAATTCTTGAAAATTTAATAAAAAATAGAATATTCAAATTCTTGGACAAATACTGGATTGCTCTGGTTTAATAATATCGTTTAGAAGGGATATTTATACATAAAAAGCCAGTAAATATTTTACCAAAAAAAAATGAATCCAGTGATTCAAATACCCCTTGTATTATAAGTCATCTGTGCGATAGACAACTGTGTGTAGAGGCGAGGAGAGGGACAAGGACTGTGCAATATGGCCTTCCATAGGGTTCTTGATCCGGTTTTTTTCACAGCTTATGTAAATGATATACTAAATCTGACAATAAATGTTACCTACTACCTACTTGGCAATCTCTGAAGAAACTACTGGATAACGATTTAAAGAGGAATTTTGTTTAGCGATGAAGCGCACTTCTGGTTGAATAGCTGCGTCAACAAACAAAACTGCCACATTTGGAGCAAAGCTAATCCTCAAGTGTATGTCGAAACACCGTTACATCCAGAAAAACTGACTGTTTGGTGCGCTTTATGGGCTGGTGGAATCATTGGTCCGTACTTCTTCAAAAACGATGATGGCCAGAACGTTACAGCCAATGATGATCGGTATAGAGCTATGATTACTAACTCTTTCATTCCTGAATTGAATAACCATGATGTCACCACACATGCCACAGGTCGTGCCACAATCGATTTATTGAAAGACACGTTTGGTGACCGCCTAATTTCACATTTTGGACCTGTGAATTGGCCTCCAAGATCTTGTGATTCAACACCGCTAGACTACTTTCTGTGGGTCTATGCGGATAAGCCACAAACGCTTGACCATTTGGAAGACAACATTCGCCGTGTTATTGCCGATATACGGCCACAAATGTTGGAAAAAGTCATCGAAAATTTGACGTCCAGATTGGACTACATCCGCGCCAGCCGTGGCGGGCATATGCCAGAAATCATATTTAAAATGTAATGTCACAAGATTATCTTTCGGATAAATAAAATTCGTGTCAATCGAATAATCCATCGTTGTTTTATTGCAACTTAAAGTTCTATACATCGAAAAAAAAAAACACACCTTACAAAAGTTAATTGGGGTATTGCAAACCTTTAATTTATTTTACTTTTGTATATACAGGGTGTTTCATTTTTCGTGGGCAAGTCTCAACTTTCTTATTTTAAATGAAACACCTGGCATACTACTTCATTTTTTAATTCCAGACAAAATTCTAAACATATTTTGTGCACAATCTAATTCTACCCGTTTTTGACATTTTTAATTTTTTATGCGAAAAGTGACGTTTGCAAGACTTGAAATATCTGCCAATTTGTTCATTCGGAAGCATTTATTGTTTCACTTGAGTAAGTTTTGTTGTCGACGAAAGACTGGAATAACGGATTTCATAAGAAATTTCGATATATATTAATACAAGGTACGCGAAAAATAAGATTAAAAATGAAATTAAAACAAACAACATTTTCATAATCTTGTCATATTTAGCATTAAAAATTAAGGCCATTTTATAGAAGGTATTTGTCTATCACAAATATTATGCTGTTGCAATATAAGTTCAGTTCGTTTAAGGTGGCTATGACGGCATTTGAACAAAACAAGTTCTAAAGTGCTGCCACTGTGATTTACCATTTCATAGTTGACCATAATCTAGCCGATGCCCTTATGACGATCCAAAAATTATGAAGGCTTTATTTATACAAAATTAGACCAAGGATAAACGATAACGTTATTGATTTTTTTTTTGTTTATGAACAATCAATAAAAAATGAATAGCTTACAAAGGATAATAATTATTGTAACAGATGTTCCACATATCCGGCCCTTTGTATAAAGGGTTTTTAAATACATAATAGCATTTCTAACAGATTCGGGTTAAATCTTCAGGGTCTCTGCAAAATGCAACAAAATATTAAGTTTCTCTTCATTATTCAAAATGTTCCATGTTCCATGTTCCATATATTCTAAAGTGCTGGTAAATATTGTCAAAGATCTTTTTCTCTGGGCGCCGCCTTAATGGAAATTTTCTAATATAATCTCCCGGTTTTTATTGTACTACATGTAACTTTCTAAGATATCAATATTTTCCTTAGTGGTAAACATAATACGCAAGCAGCATTCTAGCACTTGTTTTATTTAAACGCCGCCATAGCCACCTTTCACTAACTGAATTTAATGGCAACAGCATCTTATTTGTGACAAATGTTTTGAAGGAAATATTTCAAAAAGTAAATATACTAGGCATATAGAACTTTATATAAAATTATCTCAATTTTTGATGCTAAATATGACAAGATTATAAGAATGGGTAGTTTCCATTAAAAAAAAATTTTTGGCAATTTTTTTAATTTCATTTTTATTCTTATTTTTCGCGTTCCTTGTATTATTATGTATCGAAATTTATTATGAAACCCGTTATTCGAATCCTTTGTCTACAACAAAACTTACTCAAGTGAAACACGCCAGTTTCGTTTCCCACGGATCCGAGCCACTTCGGATATTTCCGGGATTTTACCGCACGGTTTTGGGAGCAATGGGATGTTTTCATAGATATTTCCCACGTCTTGAATATTGACGTTTGACATTTCTGACGGTCATGTCAGTGAATGTATTCGTGTTGTTTAGCGAAAATGTATCCAAAAACTAAGGGTCGTAGAAAAATGCGTTCGGTAAACTTTTTAAGTCACTCGTTTATTAAACACTCACTCCGCTCGTGTCAAATAAACTCGTGAGTCAAGTTCCGTTTACCGCACTTGTTTTATAATACACTATTCAATATATACTATACTAGAGTTTTATACCTATTTTGTCAAATATATACCGACCGTGTCGCCTGCTATATTGCTAAGTATATTATATATATATATATATATATATATATATATATATATATATATATATATATATATATATATATATATATATATATATATATATATATATATATATATATATATATATATATATATATATATATATATATATATATATATATATATATATATATATATATATATATATATATATATATATATATATATATATATATATATATATATATATATATATATATATATATATATATATATATATATATATATATATATATATATATATATATATATATATATATATACATATATATATATATATTTTTTTTTGTGTTAATCTATATTAGTTTTAATTATATTAAATGCGTTTTAAGTGATACGCCATAAACAAGCATTGCATTGATGCTTCACTGGATTTTTGCTCGTGTATTTAATTATGTGTTATTGTTTAGAGTGTTTTACTAAATAAATATTATTATATTCTTATTATTAAGAAATTGGAAATGCCAAATTTATTGTAAGTAGCTTTGCAGAAAGCAATTGTCCGATACGTAGTTTAATAAAAGATAGAAGAGCCAACGAGACATTTATCAAACTCTGAAACCTCATCGAATTTTGTCCTTGATATACCGATTTCGATCAAAAATTTGCAATTTTATGCCTCAGTTCGATATCGAACGATGGATATAAGTATTTTTATGGATTTGTTACTGGGTTAAAAGTTATATATATATTGCCGTCAGCAGGTTGTAAATAAAACTCACAGATGCCAAGAGGAAGAGATAAAAACTGCGAAAAAAGGTTATCTTTCACAAACGAACCATGAAAAATATCGTAATACCCTGGAATTTGGGTGAAGGTGACGGAATTGCAAATCTGTTGCCAGGACCTTCTCTACGTATTTTGGTGCATAATTTAGTTTCGATATTTTTTGAGAGATCCGTTCGGTGAAAAATATTTATTCAGTTTTGATAAACGAAGTATCTATATTCCAGTCTCCTTCCGATTAATTTTCAATGGAAAGCAAACGAGTATATTCACTGCCATGCCATTAGTTGTTGCGATAATTCTGATTCTTATAGACGGAGATCAAAATACACAGTAAATAATAAAATAAATAAAGAAAATGTTCATTGCTTTCCTTTATTCTTCACTCATTAATGTGCATATTTTAAAAAGAACAAGATATTTTATTAGCATAGCCCGACACACGGTGAATGGTCGTGACTAGTAATGCTATTATGGTAAAGAAATGGAAAGACAGCATATATGAATGCATTCTATTGTATTGCGTGCTGTATAATTGTAATTATATTAATAATAAATACATATTAAATAAAGTTAGTCGTAACTATGGCAATAATAATAATAATAATAACAATGCTATTTATGTCAAATTTTTTACATAATATCACAAAAACGCCAACCAGACGTGACAAAAGTGTTATATAAACATAATAAGCCTCCCGACCAAGTCAACCGAATTGATAGTTTTCTGATTTTTACTTTGATCAATCCGTTTAATATTCACCGGTAATTTATTGTACAAGGTGAGTCAGCGATAGAGTAAAATTCATGATCTCATTGGTTATCTGTCCCAAAGTTATAAGAAAATGGTAGATAAAAAAGTTCTAAAAATTGTTAAGATGTATAATTTAAAATTATCATTTTTTTATAGCAAAATGGGACCCAAAACTGTGACACCAGGGGAGAGTACGCGTCATTTGAAAGATGTTTTGAATTCGTTGTGAAATTCTTCAACCTTTTGCTAATTATAATGCATAATGAAACCTAATAGTTTTTAAAATATTTTAATTGTTCTAAAAATATATTAGTTTTAACACTTGAAGAAAAAAACTTTTCGAAGGTAGATCACTTGAGCCCTATTCGGGGATGGCGTAAAAGCAATATGCACCGGAATTTCAATTAGATGCTACAGGGTGTTGAAAATAAACCAATTTTTTTGGATTTTAAATTGAAAAATTTCGATTTTCTTGAATAGCGTACCATATATCTTATTATTTTCTCTGAAAGATCTTACAATAACGTACAACCTTTATTTATTTATACTTTGCGATTTATCATAATTTCAATAATATTTACACTTCTTTCTGTTTCGGACTATTGCAAAAACATTAGTTGGATTTTTTTAAAGCTAAACTAAATGATGTGATTTATATACTGAGTGAGACAGATAAAATACTTTTTTGTCAGTTTGGTTACAAAGTGATTAGATAATCTCTTTAGTGTTTAATGAAACGGTTTGATGCTGGTGATAGTATTGTAAACCGGAATGCTAGCAATGAGGAAAAAGAATTAGAAATTTAAAATAAAGCTACATCAAGAAATTCTAGACCATGATTTTGAACAAAGGGCAAACTTGTGCACCGTTATAAATGAAGCAATAGAGGCCGATTGAAATACTTTTTCTAAAATAATGTGTTCCGATGAAGCCACTTTTTTCAGTGATGATGCACTTAATCGTCATAACATGCATTATTACTTAACCAACACCATTGGTCACTTACGGAAATTGCGTTCAATAAAGTTGAAATATTTTACTGCATTGTAACTAAACGATCTTTGAAACATAACAGAGAATGTCCTTATGACGAACATCAAAGACTCTGACTAGCTTATCAAATAAATACGAGAGCTATTGTGAAAAGGTAAATTTAAAACCAAACACAGTTAAAATCGAGTCTCCAGCCTAAGCCGATTAGAATTTGAATATGAAGAAGAGACATGATCAAACCGGTTCGATCTTAAACAAAACCTTATACAGCTGTTTTGTTGGAAGTTTTGTCTCATTCATGAAGAAGTGCGTACGACACACTGCAGTATACCAATGTCTTCAATAACTTTTTTGGGCTAGATAACATAAGTGAAGTCCAAAATCCCATTTTGTTATCAGCATCGTTGCTGTTGAAAAACAAAACTAGCTGAGATTTAGAGTTATTAAGGTGAAGGTAGATTTCACTTACATTTTTTAGATCATGATTTATTTGGTAATCTGCAATGTCGAAAACTGTGAAATTAAAACCGAAATATAGTTGAAAGTCATCTTGGAAATTGATGCCAGCTGAGATAGTTAAGATAATGACAGAAATCAGAGGTGTAAAACAAGGTTTAGGATGTCTCCTTGCAGTATTATAAAAGATTTTACATTTACTCCTAGTGTTAGTTCGTTGCTTATGTTTCTTTTAGTTTTCTTGTTTGCATTAAGGTCGCGAATTATCAATATTATATTGTTGGGTTTGTTTTGTTTCCACAGCAGCTTTAGCTATATCTAAAATGCATGCGTATACCGGTTTGTAGAATGCAGTAGCTTCTTCTGCAATTCGATTCGAAAATTGCATTTGTTGTTGACCTATTTTGTCAAAAGTCGTGCAAAACAAATCTTCAATAAACTGAGCGTCTTCTACGCTCGTTTACAAAAAAGGAATTCCGACATTGTTAATAGACATCGCTACGCACCGGAAACGAAATTCTTCGTCCAATTTGAGACTCTGTGTAAAATTCTAAACATATTTTGTGTATATCCTGTACGTATATAAAACAGTTTTTAAAATAGTTGACCTTGGACCTCCAGCTCCAGAAAATGCATGCTTTTGTAGGTTTTGAAAATTTGATTCACCTATTTGCCAAAACGTTAAAAAAGAGTAGCAAGCTGACATTTTTGTCATTTTTGTTATCTACTTTAATATTCACATTTTTGAAATCGCTAAATTCTTTTTTGCCTAATGGGGGACTATGTAACTTTAAGTTTGAAGTCTAGTATTACATATACTTATACCGAACAATATTCGAAATATTTATTTATTTTTTGATAGTATCGCATTTGCTGAACATTTTTACCTCACGTACTGTGAAAAAACGATTGTTGTGTTCTATTGTCTAATAATAATAATAATTGTTTCTCCATGGCCAAATCAATTGAAAATCATCAACCGAAAATTTTTTTCGAATATAGTTCGCAATAGCTTTGGCCATCCCTAATATATTTTAATTTTTCAAAGAAAATTCCACAGGCTACTGTAATGCTTTTTACAAAACTTCTGGATTCCTTCTGAAACAGTTTCAGTCAAGCTCTGAAGAAGCCAACAGGATGATTGGCGAAACGACAGCAATTTCGACTAAGCAAAAACCGACGCAGGAGGAATCCAGAAGTTTTGGAAAAAGTATCCCTAATACAATTTGATAGAGAAATAAATCTTGGAGTTCATAACACTGTAAGTTACAGGGTGTCACTTTTGGAAAAATAGACTTTGGCGACTTTTAAAATCTGAATGTTTATGTCCTAATTTTGGATACCCTGTATAAAAGTAGACAACATCAATAACAAAAACGTGAACTTTAGCTTCGTTTTTATCATTTTGCCAAATATGAGGAACAAATTTTCAGAAATTTCAAAAATATGCAAGTTAATATTGAGGTAATGGCAATGAAATGAAAAAAATAGGCAATGCTTTGCCTATTTTTTTAGGCATTATTAAATATCGTTGCGACAAATATAAAATTTTTCTATGGATAAATTTTTTTTTTACAAATTCAATTCAATTGCAACAGACATTTGCTAAATTGGTCGGATTTTTAATAATTTGCGACAATCTTTAATTTTATTGAAAAAAATGTTAATTATCATTATTTTTCGAACAAAAAACTTTTTTTTTTCTTGGTAGGCCCTGTTTTGATATTAAAGCAAAACGTTGAATTTTAGCCAATTCTCCTTAGTAATATTTTGCTCAATTTTTTGAAATAAGGTACTGCACACTAAAACGAACACACTGTATAATATAATATTGCTACTTTTTTCTCGACCCCGGGATTCACTAATTGTAAGAACCTATTTCAATATTTATGAAATTAATATATCTTGATCATTATTAACTTGCCTGTCTAGAGATACTGCCACCAAGCTGTACACAGAAGCAGCAACGGATACACCCTGTACGTAAGGGACTGTTTTGCACATCCACCATCCAAGAACCCAAGCTGAAACAAAACAAGGAAATGAAAATTTTGGTTTAAGCTAATACGAGATTGCTGTTGGCTTAGGTAACTATGAGATGATTAACATCATCAGCAAAATGTAAACTATAATGAAGGTTATTTTAACGCACTTTAAATTGTTTTGTTCACATTAACTATTTAAGTCTGCCTTTAATTCTCATCTATCATAGATAGTTTTAATTGCCATATGTACTCTAAGCTATTGGTGATTGATGAGAACTACAGGCAGACTTAAATAGTTTCACAGAGTATTGTGAAAAAGAAAATTAAAGATAAGTGCTTTCAAATAACCTACATTTTAGTTACAGCTTAACTAACATATTCCTTGAAAAAAAGTCGCATGTGTAGGATGTTAGAGTTCAAGTTATTGTCTGAGAAACATATTGAAACAATAATTAATAAATCGTACCGCAATTTTGAATATATAGTGCGAGATTCTAGAAATTCCAACAGTCCTAAATCTTTGATTCTTTCATATTTTCAACTTGGAATACTCTTGGTATGGATTCGGAAAAATGTTAAATACATAAACATAATAGAAAAGGTTCAAAAACGTGTATAAGTTGTCATGTGTTCAAATTCTAACCAAACTGAACACCAAAACGAAAATTACTTTCAGTCCGAAGATCGGTTTCATATGTTCTATTTATACAAAAAATATTCTGTAATAAAATTGCATGTATTGAAATATTAGGATCTATAATTATGTAAGAAAATAAAACATTTAACTAACCAAAACTAACTAATTAGGCAGTAAACTCCAAAATTACTCAAATACAAATGATCTAAAATCACTACTTCAGTCACATAGACATATATCACTTGACTCTTAATTCTAAAATCACTACTTTAGTCACATAGACATATATATGTACAAATGACTCTCAATTCTACTAAAAAAAGTAGCTATTGATGTTTTTTGATGATTTTTAATTTTGTATTTTTTTTTATTTGAACCATTTTTTTTTACCGTCTGACCACGAAACTATTGCCCACATTTCAAAGTGGCATGAGGTCAAATTATGTAATTTGGTAACTTGCTAGGGTTGAATATGGTGGACACTGTCAGAAAAAAAAAACAATTAAATCTAGATCCCGATTTTATCGGAAATAATCCCAACTTTGCGATTTTAAATGAACACCTTATCCATTCTTAATTTATTGTACTCGCTCAACAATTCTCAACAACTTTTGTCTAGTACATTCCACATCTAAAATCAATAGTTATTGAAATACAACCGTTCAAAAATTTACCATAATAGCAAAATATTTATATCTTATGAAAAAACAAAGTAAGCCAGAATAAAAATATTGCGGTTACTTACTCCTCATTCCAAACGCAATTCAATAAAACTTTAAAAACAAAATTTGACGCCATTTCAAAAAAAGGCAGTTATCGCGTGTAGATTTTTTAAATTTTGATTATGGTAAATTCGGCGACTACAAATTCCGTCAAAATTTAAAACAAGATGCCCTTTTTTTACGTCGTTAACAATCCCTTTGCGCAAGAAAATCAATAAAAAGGCACAATCGTCTATAAACAATCATACGAGTCGCGTAGTTGGCATAGATTCAAAACAAAACTAACACAATCTGAATTTTGACAGTTAAAGAAACCGCTTCCTCTAATAACTGATATGTGTAATAAGTGCATGTTTTTTGTAGAATTGTGGCATATTTACTAATATAATCCTACTAATACCATTGATTTTCGACATAAATTGTGTTAGACAAAAGTTGTTTAAAATTCTTTGGCGAGTCCAAAAAATGAAAAATATACCGGATGTTTCATTTAAAATAACAAAGTTGAGGTTATTTCAAGTTACTTCAAATACAACGTTTCTACATTATGTTAAATACCGAAATAAACAAATAAATTATGTCTATGTCTTAATTAGTGATGAATTAATATCGCATAGTGAAGACCTATAAATTACGACCATTTCAAACTAGTAAAATAACGTTTTAAAATTAAACCATGTATTGTAAAAACTGCGATCTGCTGCTTCTTGTAGTAATATCAGTTTGTCGGCGACCAATGCTATGGAGATTAAAGTCGTAAGGAATCCAATCAAGTGGACTTGGAAGTTGCAGGCTTTGCTTGAAATTCGAGTGATCCAGTGTATCTGTTTTACTTAAAGATTATGCCAAGTAAGTGTCATTTAAAAGTCAAGAGTTAATGTTACTCCATCGTTAGCAAATGGTGATAATAATAAATATTATTATAAGTAAATACTACTATAACTACTTATTATAAGTAACTGCTACTAATTACCACTAGCTCCAGTACCGTCGCGAAAAAAAACAAGAAGAAACTCATCTAGCCTCTTGTTGGCAGCTTAAAAAGGCTGAACAATTTCTGAGTATTAAAATAAGTTTATTTAAACATTTGAACCTTTATAATGTTACAATTTAAAACATTCTTTTTAAGTTTGTTCTTTTTACACGGCCAGCTCATTTAATATTTATTTCTTAAACCATAGATTATAGCAACTTTGTTAAAGGGTCCACCAACCGATTTCAGTAACACCCAATATAAAAATGTTTCCTCCTTACCGCGAATAGTAGTGTTACTATAGTTAATTAGTTAATTGATTAGGAATTCAATTAGTCTTATTAAGCACAAAACTATGGTCTATAGTTTCATATAATATCATGTCCATTGTAGTATTCAAGCAAAAATTGTCTTTTCTAGTATTTCCAATGGTTTTACATCGCACCTCTGCCTGTCGGCAAAAAAAGAGACCTAACCGCACTTTAAGACTTTCTGAAAAACTGCAAATCTTAGATGGATTTTGGTAACATATTGAGCGGTCTTAGCATGAGGTATGAGGCCTCTCTTTTCTTCTAAATATGCATTTTTGTTGTCTGCAAGTAATGTTTTTCCTTTAAATGATTTAGTTGTTAATCATTATAATAATTTCTTCCCATCCAGGATTTGCATATCGGATTGTTTGGATATGTGCTTAGGGTTTTCGGGATCTAGTTTTTAAAATCCATTTGTGAATGATATATAAGCCTTCCATATGTAAGTGGCGCTCCGCGTTCCACCTGGTAATGCCATAGGTTAGATGAGAATTAAACAAATGAAAATATAAAGCTTCCAGTGTGTTAATAAAGTATCTCAGTTGGAGAAAATTGTCAGTGGAAGTGGACTTTCAAAAAATCTGTTAAGAAGATTTCCATCAGAGTTCACAAACATCTAGTTTACTGAAAAAGTACAAGGATCCTGAGGTGGCAGAGACCAAAACTTTTCTCCGAACAATGCATGAGTGGTCAAAAAGTAAAAAACTTGATCAAACAATGGTGTTTTTAATTTTGACCCTAAATGAATTTTTGATAGTATAAACTGCAGGTTACCACTGGAACCCTGTGTTTTATATTTTTACTTCTTAACCCCAAACATTTTTAATTTAACTTTTCAAATCTTAGTAAAATTAAACGGATTCGGTCTATATAAGCTGTTTTATTTATTCAAGGAATTATTTTTATAGGTCTGTAGGCGAAACACGTGTGACATTTTACAAATTTTTTTTTAGACCTCAACTTCGGAGTTTAATTCAAAACTTATGGTTTTATATTTAGTTTAAATACACCCGCAAAATAATACGACGTTCTCGATTTTTTGCGACTACCAAAAATAACACCTAAAAATATTTTTTAACTTGTAACTAAATTAGCAAAACAATTTACAGCTTCTACCAGTTGATGCTTGAATAGGGAAAGATCGTCTACAATGTCGATTCGTTTTAATCTTGTAAACTATGTGTGCGTATAAACCAGGATAATTAAATTCCGTTTTAAAACAATATACACCCAGGAATGAATAAATAGGACGTCAGAACATCGTTATCGACATCGCTATAATGCGGCAAAAATCTTGTTAACATTTCTCTCTCAGCAAAAAAATTCCATGACAATATTATTGTACTCTATTGCATGGTATATCAGTAGATCAAAAATGAAGAGTGAGATTCTGAAATCTGTCTAAACCATAATATTTTAATTGCGAAAGGATGGTATGCTTTGATACAGTTTGCAGAAATACTACGGTCACATATTTGAATTATTTATTGTGATTTAGTTTGCTTTTTTACCTTAATATAACCTATTTTAAGAGGAGTAAAAATGGTTCGGGATGCGGAGTGCACTCCAAATAACTCAAACTTGATATTATAATGGCTATGGCTAAGATGCCCATTGTGCTACACACGGAGCATTATCCTATTACCGTAGCCGTAAAATAAATCACTAGACGCAAAGTAACTGGTAAAACTGTAATCATCTTTGCAGTTCTGGTCGACTACTGGCAGTTCTGGCAGTTCTGCTACTTTATAACCCAAGTTTTGTTACGTCAAACCTAGCATAGGGATGTCACTGTGCCCTCGTTGACATGTCGTCAACAATGTCGTCATCTTTCCAGATTAAATCATGCCACTGACTTCCTAGCCAGGAGGGCTGTCGAATTAAACTTTATAGGATCGGAACTTTCTGTCGGTCTAGCAACATCAGTCATTAAAGAGCTGACAAAAGAAAACTTCCGTAAACAATTTCTGAAATAACGGGATGAAAATTTTAACGAGCTAGGAAGCTATTGAGATATCCGAATGAAACATCCAATACTTGATTATATTCAGGAAAAAGCTACGCATGGACACAGTTAATCATTGCTTTCCTAACGAACACCATTTCGGTTTAGTTTGAAGTAACAACCCCACGTGTAGAGTGGTGTAGCTAGAATTTTGGATTTTATCTGTTTTTCTTAGTCAGCCAAGGTGTTGGATTTGGTTTTGTAGCCTAATTAGAAGCGGCCGTAGACTAAATTTTATGAATTTTATTATTATGATTGTTCTGATTTCTAAATATTTCTAAATATTTGTTTTTAAATTGTACATTACCTTTAATTCCTCTTTTACCTTTGCTATCTGCTGCATTTCTATTTAAAAGAAGTATACCGGGTGACAAAAGAAAGTGGGAGACTCTATAACTTTTGAAACGATAACGATTTGAAATTTGGACGGGCTAATGTAGGCTGAATTTCCAAATATTTGGCAGTTTATGTAGCACCCTAGTGAGAACAAAAAATTTTTAAAACCGGTACTTTTTTCGCAACATTTTGACACCAAAATTTTCAAAATCCGTTAAAAAGTATGCTCACATAAAGGAAAAAACCAGATAAGTAAATATGTTTTTACAAAAACAAAATATGCTCCTATTCATTATTAATTGTCAAGTCGGTAAGATTAAAAATGCAGCAGAAACTCTCGAGAAGGTCATGCAGTGGAAAGGCAAAAAAGAAATTCATATTAAAAAAATAATCAAGTTTCTTCTGGGATTAGATTTTTTTTAAAGGGGTTTTATTATGGTAAAAAGTTGATATGCTTTTGGAATACGGGAATTCAATCAAAAACTAACGTAATTATTGTACGTATACGTACGTGATAAGCTACAAGCACTTTTTACCGGAAACTCAGAAGAACAAGAGAACAGAAATATATATATTTTTTTGTCGCTTTTTTGGGATAATTCAACACAATATTCATTCATTCATTTTGGAACTGGAGTTTTGTATTTATTTGAATTAAATAAGTGCGATAGATATTTACTTAATAACCAATTTATTTTAAGATGAAATTTTCATAGAATGTTTTCAAAATGTCCTCCTTCTCAAATTTTCAAAGCATTGCATCGTTGTCCATTTTAGCTATCTGTAATGAGTATTTCTCGAAGAACGGCATTTGAAAAATCAAGAATACGATTACGCCCCTGTCGGCCATTCAAGTAACATAAACATAATTTCCAGCATTTTCTCTTGGCCATTTTAGCTATACGTTTTTCCACCGAAAGTCTTTACGACCAAATAAATATTTGTCGAATACATCGGTACACCATTGTCTTGATGATTGGAATAAAGGAATTTTTAATTTTTATTGTATTTTCGTTAGACCACATTTTTGGCGGGCGGCATTTTAATTTTGTCGGCATTTCAATTTGTTTTCCAGGAACGAACTCGGGACCCGTCCTGTGTTGAGCGACGACTTTAACGCCGAGCTAACGGGGCATATTAAAATCGATGTGTAATTATATGTTTTCCGCTAATATGAACCTAAAATTTTCTTGCGGAAATTTACATGTAAAAATCAGAAAATTTATTCTTGAACGCACATAGCCTATCTACTGATCAGATTTATAACATATTAATTAACCAAGGTCATGGTAAAAGTTCGGTTTTCATAAAGGTTAACAGATTTAAAGTTCTGCTGGCAGCCAGTGACAAAAATATATGCCTATAAACCAGGATAATTAAATTCCATTTTAAAACAATATACATCCAGGAATGAATAACTAGGACGTTAGAACATCGGCAATCTCCGCAATAAACTTCTACCATTAATTTAATGGAAATGGCGAGAATGAATAATGGCAATGTAAGGCTCCCACGCGGCGTAGTAATTAACTGCTGCTTCTTGTCGTGAGATTCCGTGGCGGGCAATCAATGCTACGAAGACTCAAATGCTAAAGAATCCGATAAACCGAATTTAAAAGTTACGGAGGAAGGAAGGAATTACTAAACAGTGTATGTAGGACATAACTTTTATTCAATTTTGTGTTCTGTCTCCCTTAATTTTAGTGGTCAAACTTAAGCTGTTTGTTCAATTAGAAACTTAAAATGTACCAAAATCATGAAAAGTATGATATGATAGAGTGTTACATTTTGTTAACCGAAAACGCAAAGGCAATCAATGAACTTTTTTTCAATACATATGTAGAGCGACACCAACCAAACAATAATTTATCCAAATATGGAAGGTTGAAAAAGCCAAGGCATTTAAATGAAGAACACGAAATGAATCTAATTGGAGAAGTAATGAAATATCCAAGCATATTCTCATGGGTAGTAGCCGAAGCAACAAATTCTGGAAAAACTGAAGTTTTTACTACTTTAAAAAACATAAATCCATGCCATATTGTGCCACAAAAGTCCTCCAATTACATGAAGGGGATGACGGTAGAATACAATTTCGCAACTGGTTTATGGGAAATTCCATTGTCCATTGTTTGGAGTGGTGAAGCGAGAATTGACTGTTCCGGAATAATTGACTATTCCGGAATATTTAACAGATACAATTCGTATCGCTGGAGTACAGAAAATCCTCATGCTGTGGTGTATCAAAATCGGCAATGCCGATTTGGATTCAATGTATGGGTGGGAATTTTTCGGGGTAGATTTTTGTTAATTTTTTTTTCTTAATTAAAATCTGACAGCGGATGAGTATATAAATAGTTTGGAAGCATTTTCGGAAGACCTACCATTGATTCTTAGAAGACGTATTTATTATCAGCATGGATTGTAAGCGTTAGAGAGACCTAACCGAAAATGTTGGATTGGAACTAGAGGCCTCACTCTGAGGCCTGCGAGATAGTGTGATCTAACTCTAGTTTTTTTTTATGAGGGAGATTAAAAGATCTTATGTTTAAGGATAGAATAGAAAATCTGAGTACACCACAGCAAATGCAATGATTCTAAAATTTTCATAAATAAAAAAGTTATTGGCAATTTTCAAAAGGACAGAAAATTGACAAGCATCTCAGTTGGTAATGATGATATCGCTATGCTTTTTAACCATTAAATATTTCTCCAGAATCGAGCCCTGGACATGTAAGTCGAAGTTCTAGTTCAGAAGTGGGGTTTTCCTTTTAAAATACTACAATTACGACCACCATGTATACCGTAATTCCACTACGTTACCTGTATCCTTGAAAAGTTATGTTCCTTATCAAACATTTATAATTTTTGAATGAATTACTAAAACGCAAAAATTTCGAAAACTTTCTGGCTACATTTTTTCGAAATGTAACCGTTTGGGCTACGAAATTGAGAATTACCTCCTTTTTAACTTTCTACGAGATATATAAGTTTGTAGGAAATGGCCTCGATCTGACGCCGGCATTCATCTTTTTTCACGATTTTCTACTGTTTTTTTGGATATTGCTATGAAATATGATAAGCGTCAGAAATTTGAAGCAGTCGACTTCATATTTGGCACCACATATATGCAGCTTTGCTCCGTGACGAAACCTATTGAAAATGGGGCGTCGGGAAGTATTTTAAAAAATCGCTTATGTTTACGAGAAAGATCATTTTTCAAAAACCGTTGACGAGGCAGAAAAAATTCTTGAACAAGGAGATGTAAAGGATACTGCTCCATAAACTTTTATTCTTGAGAATTTTTTAAAAACGTACAGGGTGCGCCGTAAACTCAAAAAAGCTGAAAATGGAACCCCCTATTATTGAAAATTGGCTATAACTGAAAGACTATGATTCAGTGGTCACTTTCTTTTACATTACGATATAGCCCGTATAGACAATTAAAACTTTTGTATTTAAGGTTTTCACCTATTGTACAGGGTGTTCATGATATTCCGTGCTATATAAGAAATGTGTTAAGTGTTCTAAATTTGCAGATATCAACTTTAAATTTAGCAGAGAAGTAAAAGTCTGTGTCCACAATTAAACAGTAGAAATTGAGTGCAATCAAATTTCGGTAAGTATTTAAAAAAAAAAGTTTTTTGTTTGGTTAAGTTGGCATTTTTTCGATTATATGCAGGGTGTTTTAGTTATGGAGAAAAATCTAAAAGATCTTGAAAATTGTTCTTTTCGGGAGTAAATTACTAATCGTTAATCAAATTTAACGAGAAGACCTACAATTTCTGTATTTACGGTTTTTGTCATCACACACGCTGCCCGAGATATTTGAAAAAATCCATATGAAAATTACTATTCCTCTGGCTCAGTCTATTCACCATGACGTCATTTGCTATTACGGTGTACTGCATAGTTTCAGAAAAAAAATTTTTTTCTTGAAAAAAAATCCTGGAGCAGGAAACGTCGGAGATCCAGGGTTATAACCTCGATTTCCGAAATGTTTTCGATTATGTCAGGGTGTGTCGATTATGGTCCAAAAATCAGAAAAATCACTGAAAATTGCCGTTTTTGTGAGTAAATTATTTGCCATAAATGAAGAACTATAATTTTGTTTATGGAGTATCGTAAATTGTATCGAGAGAGAGTTTCAGGTTTCATCTATCATACAGGGTGCGCGAGAAACTTGGAAAAATATCATTAGAAATTGTTATTATTTGTACAATTTTTTATATTTATCAAGGTTTGTCGTTTCTTTAAAGTTCGGCGATACCTGCAAGACGATTTATACAGGATGTATGCACAATAAAATGCATCGATGCGAACGTTCCATAGCGGTCCGCAGGAGCACAATAAAAAAAACCATGCGTCCCTTTTTTGACAATAATCCGCAAAGCGACTGCTTTTTGAAATACGATGCTGCTTCGCTGCTACGAACTTACCCCGCCCACCGACGATTTTTCGAAAGCAATCTTGTTATATTTCAGTTCATAAACTTGTGTGTATAAATTCATTCGAAAGTAGAGCTGATTAATATTTTAATGTGGAATGTGGCGCAATAAGTTCCCCGTGGACATCGCAAATAGAATTTGAGGTTCAAATAGCACAAAAGCAAATCGACTTGGCCGTAATATTGAATACAAAACCTTGCCCTAGTCCACTTAAAATTTGTTTGAAATCCAATATAGCTTAGGGGATATTTCGATGTAATGTGTGACCAGGAATTTCCGGCTGCTTTGGGGAAGGTCGCGACTCGGTGTCAGACGCATCCTCTTCCTGAGATAGATCACGAATGGTCCATGGCGTTTTTACAAATCTAACCCATATAGATTTCGAGCAAAGGCGGACGTGACATGATGAAGTTCTGCGTTTTATTCAAACTATTTATTCAATAGTCACATACGTTGGCGATGTTGAATGAGGAATTGTCGCAAATCGTGCCAGCACAGAATATTATATATTTTTTTAATAACAATAATATTCTGGTAAAATTAAATATAATAGTTTGTTAATATAAGTTTACATTCTATTTTTTCTTATAAAGTGTTTACGGTTATGACACATTTTCTTGGTGGTGCCCTATAATAGAGTTTGTGGAATTTTATTAAACACTTGAATGCGTATATTGGCGAGTCTTGTTTCTTTTTGGTCCTTGCGTATATATTACTTAACTTATCATTGTTTCTTGAGCTGTAGCTGTAACACTGTCCATTTCCAGTCAGTTTCACATTTGTTTTAATCAGTTTGTTTTGAATTAAGTAAATTAATTTTGTTTGTTCTGGTATCTTAAGTTCACATGTTTTTAAATATGGTAGGTTTGTGTAGATTTCTTAACTAGATATATTAAAGTTCACTAGAAATATTACTTTAAGTGCGTTATTTTGTAATTTTTGTAATTCATTTAGCTGTGCTATGTTGGTGTTTCCCCAGCATGTTAACAAGTATATCAGCTGTGGCTCTATGAAGCTATTATAAAGCAGCTGATTGGTATTTTGGTTGAGTTAATGCGTAAATCTTTTTATTGCACCCTGCATTGGTACAGTTTTGTCAATTGCAGTCGCCATATATTTATCCCAAGTGAGATAGAGAGATAGTTTGCCCTAGGTATTTATATTCACACACTCTTTGAGTGCCGCTTCAATTATTTTTATATTTAGGTTACAACGTGCTTTTTCTGCCTGTTTTAATATAATAATAAATTAATAATTAATATAATAATATAAACTATTTTTTAGGCGTTTAAGGAAAGTGTGTTATAGCACAGCCAATCAAAATATTGCTGTAAATCTTTAAGTTCTTCAAACTGTTCCGCACTATCACCCTAGTGCTTTAAGCTTTGCTTTTAAGTTTGCATATTTTAGGCTTTGTACATCCGAACGCCTTTTGAAGATCGACAAACACTGTTATTACATATTTGCTATTATCAAATTCATTCGTCATAAACTCCAGCATATCAACAACCGCTCCTTGTGTACTACTTTTACTTTGGAATCTTGCCTTAATCATTTTTTCCAGTACCTTGGACAAAGTGCTGAGTAGGGAGACTGACCTGTAATTATTCATTTCGTCGTGCGCTGCTTTTTTGTATATCGGGATGATTTTAGCCACTTTCAGTTCTTCAGAGTAGTTACCAGTTTGCAGGACATTATTAGTAAGTTCTACCATTTTTTGTCCAATGATAT